TTCTTCTGGAGTCAATGAATGAGATATTCTTTATTCCATTCTACAGTTTGAACACCCCCACAGGTTTCCGTATGTGGGGTGTAATATTTGTTTTGATCTTGACGTTCCGAGTAATCTGGGCATAGAATGTGAAATATTAAAATAATTGTATTTACAAATGGAAATGTCTTGCAACTTGCCTATATTTTTCATTCCCCCCTCCACCCCGCCTCACGGGTTGGGACAGAAGTCATTGAAACTATTTATTTTTTTTCTAAAAAACGCATCCAAGCACGCAATTGTATTAATCGCGCGAAAGAGATTTTATATTAAGGTGTAGTACCCACAAAAGATGGCTCTCTGAGTGTCTCTATTAGTCCAGAGAGCAATGTGAAATCAGTTATACGACTGTCGCCGTACGAGATGAATGTAACCCGTTTCGAGCATCGCTCCTACATCATGATATAGATAGCCATTCTCCATGGAATAAATGCCCTCGAATTTCACAAGGAATTGGTTGAAGCCGTTGAGAATAATGTCCGTTGAAACTGGACAGTTCTGAGATTTGCAGGAGAGTTTATACGAAGAGACGTAGCAATCGGTGATCGCACGTGACGCTCTTTGAGTGTGCGGACCGATGTGGCACGTGCGGTAAACGAGCCTTTAGAACGGGTATGTAATGATTTTGGGATGTCGTGAACTCATATATGTTGAAATGTTTTGGAATATGAAAACAGTACTGTGATTTCAAATACTTTAATACATATGAGAAACACAATTTCGGTGTGTCGTTAAACTTTAATGTCCAGGCGCTAGCTGATACTTTTTGTATGTACATTTCACATTTCCACTCATGCTCGTATTCTTACAAAAAATAGTTGCCATGACTATTGCCCAACTCCCTTATGTATGGGAAGACCACTACTTCTTTTTCTAATGATTGTTGTTTTGCTTTGATGATTATGTCTGTGTCATCTCCAAAGAATATTACTTTGATATTTTTTCAAGTCAAAGGCATGTCATTTATGTATTTAAGAAATAGTATTGGCGCCAGGATGGATCCTTGCGGAACACCACAATTTTTCATCTCTGGGCAGGAGTACGCCAAACACTTTTTGCCTTATTACTGAGGTATGTTTGCGGCATCTCGTGGAAATACCACATACTGTGGTGGTAATCAGACAATTGAAAAAGAAAAAGTATTTTTGTTTACACAAGGGCACCCTTTGGATGAACAAAATTCCATTGGCAATCGCCTACCAAGAGGTAGCAATGTTCTGTAGCATAAAATAGTAAAACTATCAACTACTGCAGCGTGGGCGTTGGGTGCTTAGTTCTGTTTGTGGGGTATTCCAGACGTGGTTCTATTTCCTCTAAAATAATCAGGAATACCGCCTTCGACACTGTTTCTTGTGTCAAATTGAACATATTCCAATAAATAAAATGTGGAAGTAATTGTTTGTCTGGACCCATGGTTTCTAAATATATAAGCATCGAAATGATCTACCATTTTATTACACACTCGCCACTTAAAGAGCAAAAGAGTAAAATAACAAAGTTACGGAAATACAATGCATACTTTTGATACACCTTAACTTCACAACAGGAGTTTAATAAGTCGTTTACGGTGTTTAAGGCTGGGTACCAGTTCGTCAAAATGTGACGAATGTTTCGACAATCTTTAGGCGAAAAGATCTTGGTGAATCAGTCAGTGATTTGGTGTCTCTCAAAGCTACTGATCAAGATCGGAGAAATCGACCGTAAAGGTTTTCGTTTAGAAAAAAGTTTGAGCTTTCTACTTCAACAAAATTCGTGATTTTTGTTTTAAATAAAGGAAGTGAACCTCAAATGTCTTATCGCTAGGTTAACTGGGTTTGAAATATAAACATTAAATTTTAATGAAGTAAAATTCTTAGAAAAAACTCGATTTGCCATCATTTTTCCAAAGCGTATTTGGTTTGTCAAGAACTTCAAGAATGCCTTTGATCTACCGCGAGTAAGCATGAATGAGAATGTGGTTAGCAAGTATTTTAGGCTCGACTAGAGATGTCCCAACGCTATGGCCATCAATCGTCTGACACAAACAAATTTCAGAGATAATATTTATAAGTGGTGCATTACGTTTTGAAGTTAAGATGAACAGTAGGATTTCTTAGCCCTAGTTTCTTATAACATAATGTACAGTTCTTGGTAAATATAAAACATTTCATTTTCAGAAACATGTTCAACTCTTGTGTTCTTAGTGAATAATTGTTGCAAATTCGTAAACCTCTCTTATTTCATTAGTCTTCGAGATTTAATACTGAACGACATGAAACAAAGTTTAGGGAGTTTTCTATTTCTCATATAGGGAATATGTAGAACTTTTCTAACTTTTCTTCAGCAATATCCCTCACATGTATAATTTTTGGCGTGAATACTTGTTGCTAGAAATTTTAAGATAAGTCCCATTTTTCAAGCCATTTTTCAACCATATTGATTCATGTGTCTTGGATGTTTACTGTATAACTTCATTTGTACATTTTACTTTCTCCTCGAATGGTGGCCCAGTAGAGAAAGTATTGTAATGCTGTGGGAAAAACGGCGAATTTCTGACCGAAAAATTCTTTTGGGTCCTGGTAAAGAAAAAGTGAATAAATCTTGTTCCCGAGTGCCGTAAATTACTTCCTGTAACATCTCGTCACAATCCACGTTTGGTGGGTCATTGATAACGAAAAATCGATTGGCGGCAAAACGCCTGTCCGGCCGTCTGTGAACAACGCTAGTGGTTAAACCATAAGCAGGATTTTCACCAAAATTGATGTTGTTCGATAGATCTGACTGATGTTACGGCTCCTTGAATTTGAAAGAGATATTTTCATTATTGGAGGTACTTTACATAAAACCTCAACATTCACAAATTTTTCTCAAAATAGCTCCAATTTTTTTCTTTCTTTTTCTCCGTGGATAAAGCAAAAGACGCCCGAGGAAAGTCGTAGTTCGCATTTTCGTTGCACTCCCTGAATTTTCGAAAATTGTAAAACTTTTTCTGCGTCGTCCTACTGCTGCAATAATGAAGGTATACATTTTTTCCCGTAATGAAATATGTCTATCAAAAACAGATCTTCAAATAAGATCATGTTCAGTTTTACATATTACAATTTTACATTCAACTAAACATATTTCTCTATTAGTAGTATATATTAACTCACTCGACTAAAAGCGAATTCTAAGTCTACGCCCGAAATTAATACGTATTTCAAATATTCCGCGAAATCTTTTCTCGTGGCGACGTAGTTACGAAAAAAATGTTGTGTATTTTGAGATGTTAACTGTTGTGAAAAATATTTTTTTTATAATATAGGACAACTTGGAGTAATTGGGAGGGATTTGCTTGAGTCTTCCTGACAGCAATGTGCAGTTTCAATTGGGTTGAACGAAGACTATTTTTGTTTTGCTAAGAAAAATTTCTACCGGGTTTTTGTTCTGAGATTCACAGTTTCGTTTTTGTTTATCA